AATCTCACAAGCCGCTCTCGACACAAACAGGCTCTCAGATGAAGGCCCTGGCTGCCCATAAAAGCCCTGTCACAGTGCCGACGCCTCCCGAGTGTCTGCCGTGTGATGGATTCACCTAATCAGATAATGCTTGAAGACACTTGTGATTCCAAATAGAGCACAATTGATTCAAATGGCGAGAATGACCTTCAATTAACCTCTTTAGACTACCCGGCATTTTCTTCACCGTTCTTCAACTGAGTCCCTTTACTCCTCATTATCCAGTAAATTTGGGCTTCTCGAGAGGGGAAAAAGTGGAAAATGAGCCGTAAAGACTATTTAGCACCTTGCTTTATTCACATTCCCTCCGCAAAAACTGAGAAATTCATGAGAGATCTGGAGAGAATGAAATGAGCGCATTTAAAAACTCTTGGAGGCTACAGAAAGAGATAAAAGAAGCCTCAATTACTGCTGATCGGCAAATATAAGAATAAGAATAGAATATTTAAAAGTGGGTTTGAGCATGCTTTTGCAACAAATATTTATAACCAAAGGCAAATGAAAACACAAATGATGACTGAATTTACATTTCTGGGTGAACTATCTGGCATTCAAAAGTTGAGTTCATTTTTTTTAAAGAAATTAATATTTTTATTCAGCAAAGACACATTAATTTGATCAAAAGTGAAGTTTTCTATTGAAACTTTTTGACCTTTCTTCCTTTTCTTTGACCTGATCTTAAAAAATGTATCATGGTTTCCAAAAACATTAAGCAGTCAACCGTTTTCAACATTGTTAATAATAAGAAATGTTTCTTGAGCAGCAAATCAGCATATTAGAATGATTTCTGAAGATCATGTGACACTGAAGTCTGAAAATTCAGCTTTGATCACAGGAAGAAATTATTTTTTCAAATCTATTAAAGGGGTCATATGATGCTTTTTTAAAGATCATTATTTTGTGTATTTGGTGTAACAGAATATGTTGACACGCTTTAAAGCTTGTAACACTCCAAAGAGAAAGGAAAACTTGAAATCGCATATTATGACCCCTTTAAAACAGAAACCAGTTCTTTTAAATTGTATTAACATCACACTATTACAGTATTTTTAAATCAAATAAATGCAGTCTTGATAAGCATAAGAGACTTCTTTCAAAAACAGTTAAAGATTTTAGAGAAATGTTTGTATGTGCAGTAAATTTGCACATTCTTAGCACAGATGACGTGCTGGCAACACAAACACATAAAACGACTTTATTGCTTAAAGGGGTCATATGATGCGATTTCAATTTTTCCTTATTGTTGCCGCCGCCGTCGCTGAGGAAATACTTCAACTTCACGCTGTGGTTTGCCGGATCGGCTTTCACCGTGGACGAAGCGGAGTCCAGCCCGGGGGCGTCACATGTGGTTGCCGCAGGCATCACAATATGGTAAGGGACGTAACATTTCCGTCACACGCTTGAGGAATTCGGCCAATCACAATGCACTGGATAGCTGGCCAATCAGAGCACACCTCTCTTTTTCAGACCGATGAGCTTTGTAAAAATCGATGCGTTTCAGAAAGGCGGGGCATAGAGGAGAAACAATAATGTACAGTATGTGGAAAATAATGTGTTTTTTGAACCTTAAACCGCATAAACACATTTCATTACACCACATACACAAAATAATGTTCTTTTTAGCAGCATCATATGCCCCCTTTAAGTACAGTAAGATCAAAAGCAAGTAAAACAGAAGAGAAACGAGCAATACTCTACACAACATCAGGAGTATAAAGGTCTAGAAATCAGTGACTTCAGCAGACATCTAACCCAAACACTTGGTCCCTGATGAACAATAAAAGCACATAATCTCTGAGGTTACTAACGGATGTAATTCTCAGGGTAATTACCAGAATCATCAAGCGCTCTTTGAGGAGCAGTTGACTCAACTACCAATTACATAAATAATAAGACATCACCAGAAACTTATGATGTAAGCCGACGGGAATCTTGAACATAATAGAGGTGGAACTCAGAGCCTCAGCTCAGGAAAGGAGTCATAACTATTATGAGCCGAGGCGGCAGGAAACATCAAGAAAGTCAGTTCGAAGCAGCGAGAGGAGTGATAAATCTCACTACTGACTCCGAAACCCAAAGTTTCCACCATCTGTTGAATTATGCAACACCCTTCATGAGATTTTCAGTACATGGGATAATTACAATTACAAAGTCATTGAAACCGAAACTGAGAAAATATTGCCTTTGCCCAAGTATGAGGTGTAACTTTTTCGGAGGGGGGACGCGGCGTATAATGAAGAAGAATAAAAAAAACATCTGAAAGTTCCACGTTTGCAAATGCCCTCATTAATATTTCACCGCGATGGATGGCGGGAATAAAATCGAACTACAGACTCGTTTTGCAGTGTCACTTCCTCAAATTAATGAATCCATCAAGCCCTGCGCATAAAACACAACGTGAAATGCTCTCTCGCTGCGGTGTGGGCTAAACCGGTGAACGGGGGAGAGCAGAACAGCATCAGGCACCTCAATCCCTGCGACCTTTCAGCTGAGGAAAAGATCAAAGCCATTAGAGCTGGGAGAGGCAGCCGCATCAATCAGCGAGTTTGTGTTTTCGTGCACACACGGGCCTGATTGCGCCTGCCATTTTGGAGACAATTAACATTGAGGCTGACATTTTGGTTGAGGAGTTGGATACTGAGACGGGTTTGTATGGATGCCCGTTTCCGCCACTGAATAAAAAATAAAAAAGTTAATTGCGACTTTTTTCTCACAATTGCGTGATATAAACTCGCAATTGCGAGTTAAAAAGTCATAATTGTGAGATATTAATTCGCAACTCTGAGAAATAAAGTTAGAATTGCGTGATATAAACTCGCAATTGTGAGACATAAAGTTGCAATTCTGAGAAATAAAGTCAGAATTGCGAGTTACAAAGTCAGAATTGCGAGATATAAATTCACAATTGCGAATCGCAATTCTGACTTTTTTTCTCGAAATTGTGAGTTTATATCTAGCAATTCTGACTTTTTTTTCTCAGAATTGCAACTTTGTCTCACAATTGCGAGTTATAAAGTCAGAATTGTGAGATATAAACTCGCAATTCTGAGAACATATCAGTCTTTTTCCCCCTCTCAAAATTGGACTTTAACTCGCAATTGCGAGTTTATCACGCAATTCTGACTTTATAACTCGCAATTACGAGTTTATATCTCATAATTCTGTGAAAAAAAGTCAGAATTGTGAGATAAAAAGTCGCAATAACCTTTTTCAGTGGCGGAAACGGGCTTCCATAGGTTTGAGAGGTGTTGGAGGGGGACAAGAAAAGCAGACCCCACCGGTGCTGGGCTGCAGTGAAGCTTTCAGCTTAAAACAAAAGCACAATGTCACAAAATCATTTCATGTAAATACAGAACACACTGGACAATCAGTGTTATGTATTTAATATTAAAAATGATATTAAAATATTAATTACATTTAGATATGATATTGTAGATATGATACTGTAGATATGTCGGATGATATTTGGTCATTTATCAGCCATATCAAATTATATCAATGTATTGAAAATATTTCAAACATTCCCATTATTATTATTAGCAAACGAGACACAAAAAATACTACAGATTATATATTATTATTTATTATCAGCAATAGCAACAACAACAACAACCAATGTTGTTATTATAATTAGCACATGAAACAACCGAAAATGCTGAAATGTATTACTGTTATTATTATTATTATTATGTCATAATCAATAAAACCACCCATTGCTGTTCATAAAATAACAATAATAATAATAATAATAAATATTATTATAATCTATTAAAACAGAAAACCTGGGTTTCAAAAACAAATTTAAATTTGAAAATCAGGCTTTGTTCATGTCAGCTTGAATGTTGATGTTGTTAAAACAATAGGAGTCACAAATTCAACATTCTACTAAATTTGTTACGCTGGTAATTTAATTTGTAATGATCAAAGTTGTACTAAATTAGAAAAGAGGCTCACTAGTGGCCTCAGACTTTTGTAGCCCAGTGTGAATCAGTCGACTGCGAATTACAATACTGTAAAATATTTGGGCATCAAAAACGGTTCCCTGGGATCTTTCCAGCACTGACGTTGCAATGAGCCTGAGGTAAGAGCGGGAAGACTGCTGTTCTTTCGGTTCTCACAGCCTCCGCATCATATAACAGCCAGCAGTCCTGGGGCGGCCTTCTCCATTTCAGTTTTTAAACTGCTGCTTTAGCACTCTGCTGTTGCCACATCTCTATCTCTCTGTATCTCTGGAAATGTGCATGATGTGGGCAGCGACTATGCCTCGTGGTGTATCACAAGTCATTAGCTGCTCTGTGCCTGAGGGATCTGGGGTAATGTCACATTGAGAGCAGGCAGAATGGTAAGATTGAGTCTGACCTCCTGCTATAAAGCATTACTCCTCTCTACCCCAGCAAACACATCCCTCTAACTGCTTCGCCTGGCTCTGAGCGTAATGCGTTTTAAAAGCGGCAAACACAAGTGAGCTCATAATTCACACTGACATAATCTCTGTACCGACGACACCATACTGTGACCGGGATTCACATCTGACTTGACTGACCTGAATATGAAAGTGTCATACCTAAACTCATTCCAAAAATCATATTTGGTAATTTTCGTTTCAGTCTGTTCGACACACACTGCTATTGTATAACTCCAAAAGTGGAAATGGGAAAAAAATATCATGCTTTTAGTGATTTTTACCTTCATTGTAAACAAAAAAAAAAAAAAAAAAAGAGTACCAGCAAACTAATGCATGACGTTCCTGCATCTCACTGTTGCATCTCTAAAACTTGCTGGGGAGGAAAATAACTTGAAAAGAAGCCTCCAATATTCCCTGTGCCTGCTCAGAAGAAAGGCAGCTTGGTTGTCAAGTTTCAAGGGTATTCTCCCTAGTGTGCAAAAAAAAAAAAAAAAAAAAAAATTCTTTCCAATTTCTTTCCAATTAACAGATGTGTACAAATGATCAGACTTTGTGTGAAATTAGTTACACATTTACACATGAAATTATAAATGATAGATTTTTTTTAAAAGTTTAAATTAGTTTTTGAATGCTTTGTTTTGTAAGTTATTATTATTATAGGTTAATTTCACTAATTATTTGTCTTATTCTCTAATAATCACAGTAATCATGATTGTTATATTTATCAAAAACAACAACTATAATAATTTTTTTTAAATTATTAAATTATTACAAAAATGTATTATAATCAACAACACCACTACTACTAATAATAATCATTATTATTGTTATTATTATTATTATTAATAATAATAATATATATATATTAAAAAAAAACTATAGAGTTGGAATAAGAAAAAAAATACAATGCACTATTTTTTGGGTCCTTTTTTCACCATAAACGGTTGTTCTGTGAAAGAGTTGCATTAATATTCTTCAAGAAAAATTACATTTTTAGTTAAATTATTCCATTAATAGTATTATGACTAGAACTGATTGACGACAATTCGCGCACTCCTCACCATAACTCAGAATACAGAAAAATGGTTGATGGAAAGGTGTATTTGAATTGTGAACCAATTGCCTAAAGATTAATACAATTCATAAAAGCTATAATTGTGATAATCTTTGCAGAATAGCAAGCAGTCAGATTTGATTAAAACCCCACATGGCTGACAAACGTGCTTGCCTTTTTGTTAAAAACGTTAATATAATATTCTGTGTGGGGTTTAATGTGATGCCAGAGCTGTTAACCTCAGGTGGTAGCGTGCCCTGCTCTCAGATGTGATCTTATGAGGTGAATATATTGAGGTGGAGCGCCACTTTGGCAGCATCTGGGTAGATGCCTCCACTGACAGATGCCAATCACGGTGATGGTTCCGTCTGGCTTAGCCCTTTCCTGCCTGGAGTGTGCTCTGAGGCCAGCTGTCAATCAAAATCGCATACCGGTTCACCGCCTCAGCATGGCCAAACTTTCAGAAGCATGAAAACATGCAGAAGTTAACCAGCAGCACTCTCAGAGGCACAGGGAAATTTGCTACAGCGTTACACTTTACGACTAGCAATTTCTTGTGCTGGATTTTTCCCTGATGTCAACACTCGTACTCATTAGAAAACAAAAATAAAAGACAACCCTTTACAGAGAAAGCACTGTGGCGGTACCATGTTTCGGTGATGGTATCTGATCACTGTATTCTTATACTACAGTTTTTAAATGAAACGGTAAAAAAAAAATAAGGTAGTGTCCATACTGTGTAATACTATGGTACTTTTTTTGTGCATGGGCATATCATACCTGTTTTTCGACAGTGCCTCTAACTGCGTGTGAAGCACCTCTCCATCTGTGGCTCTCAAAATGGCTTCCAGGTTTTCTTCCAGAACCTTCTTGCTCTGCCTGACCTGCCTCAGGACCAGTCCTGCATCCTCAAACATGGATGTGGGCGGCTGGATGCTCTTCAGAATGCTGGCTCTGTTTAAAGGAGCAGCCCTGATGGTAATTGCATCAACCGGCTCTGGGGGCTGTGAGAGAGGAGGAGAGATTGAAAGATATTGGATGCATTTAAATCACTGTGTATATTTTGAGTGGAAAAACAAACTGTCTTTGTAAGGGAGCCGCTCCAGAGAATAAATATGATAAATATGTTTAATGGAATGCTGCTATGAGCCATTAGGGTGAGTGCTGTTGTTTTTTCCGAAAGGCATTCGGAAACATTTTCAGGCCTCAACAATCAGGAATTCTTTTGCTAACAGGCCAGTAGTTGAGATTTTTATTGGCTTTGCCAACATTTTCATCTGTCTCACTACAAAACAGATTTTATTCTTATTAAAACGCTGACTGGTGATATATATTATTTGTATAATACAGAATAAACATTATTATAATAATGAATTATAAATTATTAAGTGATAATATGTATTAAATGGTGTCATGTTTTTAAAAGGCAGCATTAATTTGATGAAAAATACAGTCAAAACTGAAATACTGTGAAATGTTATTACAATTCAAAATAACTGTGTTCTATGTACTTTATTCCTGTGATGCAAAACTGAATTTTTAGCATCATTACTCCAGTCTTCAGTGTCACACGATCCTTCAGAAATCATTCTAATATGCTGATTTGCTGCGCAAGAAACATTTCCCATATACTGCTTAATATTTTTGTGGAAACTGTGATATGTATTTTTTAAGAATAGAAGTCAAGAGAACAGCATTTATTTGAAATAGAAATATTTTGTAACTTCTTTATTGTCACTTTTGATTAAATTAATGGACGCATTTTGAATAAAACTTTGAATGTGTGCGGTAAGAGTTCAAGATCAAATACAGGTGACTGCTGCACTAGCCCGGTGTAAATCTCGCCTGAACTGCTGCATATTTCCCTGTAGTATACATGTCACGTTCCTTCTCGGCAAGCACGAAAGTGGGCAACCGAGGGTCCTTGGCTGTCTCTCCCTCTCATCCTCTCCTGAATATAAATCTGTCGGAGAGCTCCATAAATCCATTACATGGGCCGGCAGATGCTGCTCTGGCAGGCTCGCCTTGACGAGGGACTCTCTAACCTCAACCCTGTGCTCCTGTCAAACATTCAGCCACATCGGAGGCGCTAGAATACTATTAATCAGGCGCTTCCATAGATTTTCTTACAGCAGTACTTTCTGTTCTTATGATATACTGAGCATTATTGAGCAAAGGAGGGCATTGGGGCACATCCACAAGATGTTTACAAGATCATCTGCAAATTCTAGGATAGAGTGAATTTAATTCTATCTATGTATCTATCTATATCTATGCAAAGGAGTATGGAACAAGTTTTTTTTTTTTTTAAATAATAGTGAAAAGTGATTTTTCACCATTATTTACAACAGGATCTGCATTTTAAATAAAATATTTTTGTTATAAGAGACAATCAAATTAAATGTGCATTTAAGCCACTCCTTTCCTGTTAAAAAATGTACTTGATTTTCAAAAGTCAACGAATTTGTGACAACTTGACAAGCCAAACATGTCAGCTTCTGAGTAACGTACTTTATTTAAGCCATGAAATCAACTTCATTCCGTGAAACAAGTATAATGACTTCAAAAAAGCATTTAGAATGTCTCCAGCATGTATAATTACCCAAAAATCAAACATAGTTCCCCCTTACGCACGTTATAATGTCCGTCAAAAACTGGCTTGCTGTCGGTTGGAATATCAGAACTAAAAACATCCACATTATTTCGAATATCACGAAATTGATGTCTGTCAAAAAATAACATGCACAATACATGGCAGTATTTACAAGAAGCACGGTCCAGGGAGTACACGCATTTTCTGGAAAACCCACTACATGACTACATCATCGCTTTCCGAGAAGGAGAAAATAGCAGTCTGAGTGGCTTTAACATGCTGTCTACATAACACACACACACACACACACACACACACACACACACACACACACACACAGACCAACAAACACACACACACACACACAGACAGACAAATTAAAGTATGTAGTGTGATCATTTCTATAGTTCAACGTTTTGAACACATAGAAACTGGAACCAAAATTGGTGGATGCAATTATTGACTCTGACAAAAAAATAGAAACAATCCTAAAAGAAACGAATCCCGAAATTTGCTGTGGCTGCATTTGGGAGGGGTGCTGTGCATTTATTCTGAAGCCCAGGTGTAAACGAGTGATAACACTGATTTATCGGAGCAGTCTCTGAATAACAGCAGGGCTGAAATTGCAGGATACAAAAGGTACAGTTGTGTCATTCTGTTGTTGTGGATAGAAACTGCACAGAGGAGAAGGCTCGTAAACCTGGAATTGCAGAGGATGGGGTTACCATGGGAACCTACCACGGAGATGGGGGTTATGGAAAGAGGCGGGGCCGTGGTGGAGGGGGCGAGATGGCTGCTCCTGCTGTTCTGGGTCGACTTGGCATTCTGCACAGGAAACGCATCAGCAATCTGAAAGGACAAGGACCGAGATGCAGAGTCTTAGTAGCAAACTACAAAATGAAGTTTAGATTTCACATATATGCAAAGCACACTGGTCAGTGAGTAATTACATGAACCAGAGGAAAAATTGTAGTACCTGTACAACACTTTTGTATTCATAAAATGGCCCAAAAATGATGGGACATTGCGGGCAGGAACATAATAATGTGCAATGTGAGTGACATTCCATTAAAACAGGCCAGACGGCAAGACTAGTGACTTGGCTGTCTCAGTTCGCAAGAGAGACAGAGAAAGAGAGAGACAGACAACGCTTCTCTGACAGCGGCCAAAGAGCATTCAAATCCTGCATCCTCAATTATATGCTAATGTGTCATTTGCTGTATGTTACATTATTCTGGGCTGATGGAATTTTTCAGTCGCAAAAGACGTGCCTGGAAACTCAATGGCTTATTGGGAGAGCGAGGGTGACAGTAATGGATGGAAACAGGCAGTGGCACATTTGGTAAGAACGAAGAGGCACTGTAAATTATTAGTGTGGGAGGCAAAGGGAAGAAACATTTGGAAAAATTGGTGTCTGGTCAATGAGACACGAATGTCTCGGTTCCATGTCTCGGCTTGATTTCATCAGTAGTTCCTCTTCAATTAGATTAACTCAATCCGGAACTCAACACTTTGACTGTCATTGGGTCGCTTTAAATGACCAGAAACCTGCTGATCAATGCCAAGAGTTGGACAGGGCGGTATGATCGTGTATATATACACATATAGTGTGACAGTAGCCCACCAGTAGACATTTTGCTATACCATTTATACCAGTAGACAGTCTATGACACAGCCATCAGTCGAATTTAGACACAAAAATTACTATTCTGAGTCTTGATTTTTACTTATTATTGTGAAGCTGTTTTTGACAGATTTGTCATTTATGTGTTATACATAATCTTATTGTGTGGTTTGGGTCTACTAGGGTTGTGCCGATAGACGATAGTATCGACGATAGTTAGAGATGTGACGATATCAAGATGAATATAATAATAATAATAATTATTATTATTATTAGGCTAGTATTATTATCTAATTAATATTAGGGCTTATTTGTTCAATTATATTTCTTTTTCCGTGTGTTTTACAGTGTTGCACGTTATAACCAAATCACACACGATTCCGTTGAGTTTATGAATGCAACGGCCAATCAGAGGCGTTCAGATGAGTCATCGCTGATACACCAGAGTTTTGTCATTCAGTGCGCTTTCGTTGACTGAATTCTGCTCTCTCGCAAATTCTCTCATCATAAACAACGAAGTGCAGATGTACGTGCGATGTAAATTTAAGAGATTTATTCATCATACAGTGTAGATAGCTTCACTGATTATAACGGGAGTGCATAAACTCGCTCTAGAGTGAAGTCAGCGATGACGTTCTTTGATAATGTAAATATTCTTTGCTCGTTTTCTGTAGCTACTGTTTGAATAACTGAGGAAATATAAACATTATAATTAGTAACTTACAATGTTTTTTTTTTTTTAATTGTTATCAAGTTAAATACAAATTCAGTAATATTAAAAATATTTTAAAATAATATTTTTGACATGACATCTATATGCTTCTTGGCTGGAAATATATAATGTGTAGTTAATAGATCACACTAACATTAGGCTGCTTTTAGCCTTACCCTAGAGTTCGTTCACTCTCTGGCTATGAAACTAGGTAAGTAAATAATTAAATAAATTAGCATGATAATATTGTGTATCTGTGATCTCACAGGCTGATGATAGCATCTACCACACTGTAAATTAAAAAGAGAATAAAACAATAATCACATCATAATGAACCTTCCATTTGTAAAGCACAGGAATGACCACAAACTTATTTAATGTATAAACACACACACACACACACATATATATATATACTGTATAGATACACATTCATATGTATGCATGTATGACAGACAGACAGACAGATAGATAGATAGATAGATAGATAGATAGAATATAACAAAGGCTGATTACAAAATTTAGATGTGCAAAGCCACTTTTTAGCAATCGACCTGTTTGAGAATATCGACAAATTAGTAGAAGCAATTTAAGTTGTAATTGGTTTGGCCAATGCCACTGCAGAGATCCATTCTAGTAACTAAACTCATAGCAGGACTATCAGAGCGTGAAAGTGTGAAAGTCAGTATTGATTTCTAAAGTGCTCACCTGCAGTAGACTCTTCATCTCATTTTTAAACCGTCCCGGATCCTGCAGCATCTCATTGGCTCTTTGGACAGCCGAGCTGGAAGACGCCACATGTATATGTTCTGCCTGGTTCTTCCGTTCATTCTGTGGCTTCATGAAAGCCGGTTCTTCAGGTTGTACACTACCAGTAAGAGCAACAGATGCTTTAGGTGGCGTCTGGCTTTTCCTGAAATAATAAAGACAGCAAAAGATCAGATTTTTTAAAATCTTACATCAGGTACATTCATACACAAAGCCAAATTCAGTATCATTTTTCAGCATGCTTGATCAAACTGGGAGGAAACATCCAAATCAAATGTGTGTGTAAAGAATTTTTAGAATTATTCTTATTTAATAATAAATAACCACATTTGTTTTTCAACATTGCTCTGTGTAAATAATTTGTAAAAACATTCTTTCACTTATGCAACAATTTAAGAAATTTTTTAAACCAAGTTTCATTTTGCTTGTTTCAAATTTGGCTGATGTTAAAGGGTTAGTTCACCCAAAAATGAAAATTAGACCATAAATTACTCACCCTCAATGCATCCTAGGTGTATATGACTTTCTTCTTTCAGACGAATCCAGTCGGAGTTATATAAAAAATTGTCTTTGATCTTTCAAGCTGTTTAATGCCAGTCAGCGGGTGTTGCATTGCTTCAGTCCAAAAGAAGTGAAATAAAAAGCACCCATCCATAAAAAAAAGTGTCTCACACGGCTCTGGGGGGTAAGCAAAGGCCTCCTGTTGCGAATCGATGCGTTTTTGTAAGAAAAATATCCATATTCAAAACGTAATAATCACTTTAATGTAGCTTGCGCCAACAGTTGCCTCGTTTTGTACTTCTAATTCCTCACCGTTGTTTTGTTTTGATCTCTCCGCTGCGTTTCCGCACACTTCTGAGCAGCGCATGCGCAAAGCCGACCTGATACGTCATCCTCCCGGAACTGCTTCCATTTACAATAGTGAGCGCAAGCTAGATTAAATTGATTATTACGTTTTAAATATGGTTATTTTTCTTACAAAAACGCATCGATTCACTACAGGAGGCCTTTGTTCACCCCCCTGGAGCCGTGTAAGACACTTTTTTTTATGGATGGGTGCTTTTTATTTAACTTCTTTTGGACAGAAGCAATGCATAACCCGCTGACTGGCATTAAACAGCTTGAACGATCAAAGACAATTTTTTATATAACTCCGACTGGATTCGTCTGAAAGAAGAAAGTCATATACACCTAGGATGCATTGAGGGTGAGTAATTTATGGGCTAATTTTTCATTTTTGGGTGAACTAACCCTTTAAAGCCGATAACACAATTACATAATATAAAATTAAACAATTATAAATTTGCTGAGAATTTAATGTTCATTTCACACAATATTTATTCTTATGAAGGGTGAAAAACAGGAAAAAGCATGCACGCCACCATAGCCTGCAAAAAACATTCAGTAAATTTATATATCAAAAATTCTGCACAAAATGAAATGTTTTTTTTTTTAGGTGTGCGAGGTGAATTCTTTTGTCGTTTACACAATTTTTACGCAATTTACTCAATGAAAATTAAAAAAAATACCAAAATGTGCATGATCTATTGACCATTGGTTTTATCTGGGAACTGCCACAAGAAAACAACTGGATATCAGGCGTTTATCTCCGAATTCCACATTTTCAACTTATCGCTTTAGTATTCAGCGTACCAAAACTGCACTGTGCATTACCATATGGAGTTCAGCTAAAGGACGCTGAGGTAGTCTACAAGTGATGTTCACCTAATTCTTCCGAGGAGCGTGAAACGCTGCCGGAGGACGTCCGTTAATCTGCCCTCTGCGCACACTCCCCGCTGTCTGTCTGAACAGCTCAGTGTTTACACCACATTTCACATGAGCAGTATCAGGCGCAAAACCCCAATCAGCTCAGATTGAAGCTGAAATATGTATTTATACTGGCACGTCAGTGCACTGTAATGAAGGGGCCTGAGTGTCCTCAGCTGAAGGGGTTTATCGGGTTCCAGCCAAGGGCTTTTAGTCTGGACTGTTTTCACAGTCTTGGGTTGCCAGCTCATCTAACGTTACTGTGAAGACCATTTCTCCAACACTGCAGTGCTTGTCTAATGTTGCAGCAATTAATCACCCTGAGACGGGTTCAGTTTGCCAAGATCATGCTAACCAATTTAAAACGTTACAAAAGACACTTTTTAAGCAGATCGCATCTACTTTCCTTGACATGCTGGGAGCAAAAGAGGTTATTTAAACAGGATGTTAAAATCTGTTCACTTAATGAGCTGCTGCAGATTTGCAAATCTTATGAGGTGAATCACCAAAACATGCTCAAGTCATATTTCACTTCAGAATGATAGGGAAAATACATAAAACATAAAATTTTGCATAAATAAAACACATCTGCATTTATGACCAATACGATTTTTTGGACTGTGACATTTTTTTTAAACCAGTTAGCACGTTCCCACAAATGTTCCATACACTGAATGCAAAAAATGTTGTGTGACATGAAAATCACAGCCAATGAGAAGATATTTGATATGAGCTGAATTTTGGACCAATTAAATATTAAAGTGGACGGGGCTGCAGAAATAATTCTCATAACGATCATTTAAACAATACTACAATAATATATATATATATATTTTTTTTATTTGTTTATATTCAAATTCTACATATTTATACATTAAAATGTAAATTCTTCCCGTCTTTAGAAGCAGGATCAGTGTTGGTCTGAGTGCTAAATGTCGTCCTGTGGGTTAATACGAGTTTCGTGTTTCTCTGATTGCTTCTTCCCACAGGTTGGCTCTTACCTCCTTGGACAGGCTTTTTTTTTTTTTTTTTTTTTAAAGATCCATGTTCTTTTTTAAAGCCACAGAGAGAAAGGAAACCTGTCGTGTGAGAATGCATACCGAGGAAAATAAAGTGCTGAGCTTGATTACCTTATTTAGAGAGAGAAGCTGGTGGCACAACCAAGAGGAGAAGGAAATTTAAACAAGGAAGAGATGGCAAGGAAATACAAAGCGTGGTAAAAATGAGAACGGACGAGAAGGAAACTGGAACAAGGAAGAAAAAGAAATGAGATACAGAGAGACAAAGAGGGAGGGACAGAAACTGCTCTCAGAGCTGCGTTCAAAACAAAGGTCAGAGCTGAAAGACAGACAGTGTCCAGTCTCAAGAGCCGGGCACATGGTGTGCAAAGAGCGCCAGCCTTCACATCTGAGATTTCTGAGGCTCTGCGGCACGAAACGGTTAACAAACAACTATGCGCTCGCTCTCATCAACACTCCGACGTGCGCAGAAACGTATCTATTTACTCCACTTCACACACAGAGAGCCATTCATTCTGCCTGCGCACAAAGAACAGAAGGCAGAAGAATCTCAATTATGCATCGCAGGCACTGAGAGCTTGTTAGAGAAAACTGTGCAGGATAGCAAGTTCAGTCTTGCCCTACGCAATATAAACAGGAATATGAGATACTATCAAACGGAATAATTTCCTTTATTCATAGATTTAAAAATAATATGAAGCATTTGTGTTGCTTTTAACTTGCAGAATGTGATAATACTGATGTGAACAAACCTCTATTTCAGGAGTGTCCAAACTTTTTTTTTTAAAGGGGGCCAGATTCTGTGATGTGGACACACCGGGGGGCCAGATATATACTGATATATATATCAGTAGCTTGAGTTGATAGTAGCAAAACCTCGTTTTAAAGGGGTTTTAATAATAAATTAAACAATTTTAATAATTATAATATATATAATGGCTTTATATTATTTAGTCTATTAACACATTTATTTTGTATAAAAAGAAATGCACAAAACTGCTTAGAACAAAACTATCTGTATTTTGGCCTATATGTCATTACTCCCTTACATTACATTCAATAGGCCTATGTCTACATTAATAATATAACAACATTTGGTAAAAATATCCTACATTTCTGCCACAATACCACAGTTAGCCTACAGTTAGTGTTACTGCAGTAAATCCATTGAAAATGTTGGTGATTTGTGGATTGAAAAGTTTTCCGACACGTTTCCGTGTCAGTGCTGTTGAGAATGTCAGCACGGTTTCATCTGGCTTTCAACTAGTTTAAATCACCGCGACATCTGTGGTTTGTATCAGAGACCTCTGCACCAAACCTCACAGCGAGATCGAGATCAGTCAGCGACTAAACGCATTTGTTCTGAGCTCGCTCTGCGCTCAAACAAGTAGCGCTCTTCTGCTTTAGGAATTCTCATGCGCTCGTTCACCTAAAATTTAGTGCGGTCACAATGTGTTGACATTGTGAAACTGCATTATTCGTAAATTATGCTTGGCGGGCCACATATAATATATTTTAATAGACAAGCTGAGGGCCGTTTGAAATTCATCCACGGGCCACACTTTGGACACCCCTGATCTATTCTTAATTAGCGAACCTTAATGATATGATGCATGAATAGATATGATGCATGAATATGATATGATGCATGAATAGTAATGCAACAATTACACTGCAAAGGTGGCACAGAATCACCTCTGAAGTGGCATTTAGATATCTTTACACAGACTATTTAATGCTGCTCAGAGGTGTCATGAATGCATTTACACAGCAATTACAACTGTATACTGTACACTGTATACTAGGGGTTGAGGTGGGTCAGAGTAGGCATTATTTAGTCTGGCTTTTATGCAGAATTACATCTTTACACAGAATTCTGAGCAGGCACAGATCATCCTTAACTCAGCTGTGTAAACATGTACTGAATGAGGGACCATAGCCATATCTAGTGACTAGAATATATCAGGCACTTGTGCCAGTAAGCAAGCACCTAGGAACAACTCAGAGTACCCTAGCAACCACACAGCAATGCACTGGAAAATATCCATAACATATTTGTTGCAGCGACTTACGCATGAGCAACACTCACAGAAAAAAAAAGTTAAAACCCAGGTTTATTAGTAGTTGCGAGCAATATTTTTTGTCCACCCATAGTTTCTATAAGCAGAAAAGCAAAGCAAAAGAAAGGCAAAATACTCAAAATGCTTTACATAGGAATAATCAACAATAAAAAATAATACAAAAAATTACTATTTTTTAAAATAAACAAATAGAAATAAAAACTAAATAAAAATAAAAAAATATATAAAAATGCAATAAAATACTAATTACTTTATAATTCGTTTTATGATTTATTATT